AAAGCGCGATGAAGGTAAGTGCGTGTGATAGCCATTTGCATATTGTGGTGTTTCGTCCAGTTTATTACTGGATTTATGCTTATTTCACTTTGTTATCGCTTTGTGGGCTGCGTGTGATAAGGTCCTCTGTCAGTTCATGTATAATGATTTGCTGCTGTGGAACTTCAAATAATTTCCAACTAAGAAGGCAACTCTAAGGCAAGCCTATCACAGGGTTTTATGGATGTAATTGGTAAGATTTGTTCAAGGAGTACTTATCTTTGGCTTCCTGAGGCTGAGAGAGTGTGACTTACCAAAGATCATCCAGCAGGTTTGCAGGGTCAAGCAGAGACTTGAAGCCAGGTCTCCAGAATCAAAGTCCAGCATACAAACCACTATACCACACTGGCTTTCTATAGGTAATGAGAGCAGCACCAAAAGGCTTGCTCACTGAGCTGTGTGAACTATGTTCCACAGAAGATGACTAGAGTCTTTGCAATGTGTAGGATTTATACAGCACATGATAGAAGGTTCATCAGCAGAAACATCCATCTGAATGGTTACCATATTTTAGGAAATTTTAACACCGAACATGTAAGCAACGTGAACTGCCATGCACACTAAGTGCTGGATGCAGAGATCCATTCATACCACTGAAACTACTGTGGTTGCATGATGGGATCCCCTGACTTCCTAGATATTCTAACACTATATAACCTGGCTTATTGGGAAGAAAGGAGTTAGCTGAAATCAGAAATCACCAAAAACAAATTAAAAACAATAACAGAGGCATCATAACACAAGTAAAAAGCAATGTTAAAATAAGAAAGGTCAATTGCAGGAAATGATTTCCTAAGGAAAACTAATAATAATAGCACAACTTTTCAAAACCACTGGCATTTTTGAACCAGCCTCTTATACCCAGCAGTCTGATAGCATACCTTAAAAACAGTGCATCAGACCACTGGAGAGTCCCAGAAGTACAACTGAACCTCCCATAACATGTAAAAATCACCATTTTGAATGGCAAGTTGGCTGTATTTTTGGCTGTACTTAAGTATGAGCTGGCAGAAGGCCACATAAGATGAATCTTTTCTAGTCACTTTATTGACGGAAACAAAGTTGCAGAAGAAATTTTCAGCCAGCGATCAAAGTTCACTTATGATACTTAGCAATTCTAACTAAATGATTTAGTGGTGTAACTGAACTGTGCATGAATAAAATGGAAGAGAATTGTTAATCTTGGCTTTTTCATTCCCATGCCGATAAAAATCAGCAAAATGGAACTGTAGTGACTCATGCCCTCCTGGGCTGACAAAGTCTACAAGCTGATAATATCAATGGCAGACATCCCACTGCCTTTAATTTGGGCAGGACTGAATCTTATGATTGCCCTCCCCACTTTCCTGGTAGTGGATGCCGAAGTAAATCAGGGGGAAAAATGCTGGTCCAGAAAAGTGCTGAACAGATAAAATGTCAAAACCTACTACCACCACTTCCCCCTTAATTAAACTAATGTTTAATGAGTTTCAGCATCCAAGAAGGAAAACAATGAGTCTAAAACTGAAAAAGAGTGGCTTGTCTGCATAGACACATACAATTGTGTAGTTTTGTTTTGTCTTTTGCAAGGCATTAATGAATGAACGAACTACCAAGAGAAAAATACTAACATGAGTAAATGTTTTGTCAAAAATGTAAATAGGACAGGACATATAGTGACACTGTAGTAAATAGAACAGGACATATGGAGACACTGGCTTTTAAAAAGGACAAGCTGTTTCCTCAGTCTTCTCTATTGATAAAGCTCTGGTCACTTGCTACATCTATATAGCCAATTTAAGTTAAATTAAAATTAAAACACAGTTCAAACACAATTCAAAAAGGATGTGGAGAAACTGGAGCATGTCCAAAGGAGGGCAACTAAAATGGGTGAAGGTCTGGAAACCAAGTCCTATGAGGAACGACTCAGGGAGCTGGGGATGTTTAGCCTGGAGAAGAGAAGGCTGAGAGGTGATATGATAGCCGTGTTTAAATATTTGAAGGGATGTCATATTGAGGAGGGAACAAGCTTGTTTTCTGCTGCTCCAGAGACTAGGACCCGAAACAATGGATGCAAGCTGCAAGAAAAGAGATTCCACCTCAACATTAGGAGGAACTTCCTGACAGTAAGGGCTGTTCGACAGTGGAACACACTCCCCCAGAGAGTAGGGGAGTCTCCTTCCTTGGAGATCTTTAAGCAGAGGCTGGATGGCCATCTGTCGGGGATGCTTTCATTGGGAGTTCCTGCATGGCAGGGGGTTGGACTGGATGGCCCTTGTGGTCTCTTCCAACTCTATGATTCTATGATTCCAACCCATGATGTACTCCTGCCTTCCAAGATACTTATTATTTCATACATTTTTTATATACTTTCAATATTTATTTCAATAAAGAAATAAGTGCATCAAATAGTACTAAACCAAATAGTAGAAAGATACTACAAATGATTTAAAATACGGCATTACTTTATAAAAGGGCCTGCAAAAAGGCTTCAATGGGAAATTTGTTTCTATTCCTAATTGAAGTTATTACATACAGCAGAAAGATTACTAGCTTTTGTCTGTCGTATGTTATGCATTAGGACAAACAGAGGTCCCACAACTTGAGATTACTAATAGCACCGTTCTGTATTTATATAGATCTATATAATCAACCTTTTAAAAATACACTTCCATATTTGCAAAATGTTCTGAAAGGGCTCTCTCTCTCTCTCTCTCTCTCTC